GTTTCCGGTGTTGGTATGCACACTGGTATTGATTATTATCTCATTTCCTATTGGAGGACATTTTTGCAAACCTCATATAATAGATAGTGTTCCACTTCGATTCAGAGGCTTCCAGAAGGGATTTGGCCTATGTAACGAATTACGGTTGACAGCTGATGTAAAAGTCAGTGTTTTTGTCCCTCCCCCCCCCACCCTCCTCCCCAGTCGAGTTGTCTTTCGACCAACATGCTCGTAGGGAAGGAAAGCCTGAACTGGCCTGAGCGGGAGCCCATCCGCGATTTGATCCTCGGACCACGGTGGTTTGTTCTTCAAATTCTGCTGTTTCCTATTTTCATACTTTGCTCTATGCAACTAGATGTCTGATTACTACAGGAGCTGGAAAGTGATCTCGTTGACATTCCCTACTACGGTAGCTCAGACGTCTCAACACGGTAAGTCCATGGCTTTGGTGAGTGCTAGTTTATCAAAGGGCAACTCGCGTCCATTGGTGGATGTTTGACTCATATACTATAGATTCCAGAGGGCCTCAGCAACGCAGCAAATCATTATAGGACATGAGCAACAAGGGCCTATCATTTTAGCTAGGGCACGTAGTCCTGACTGTTTAGAAAATTCAGTCGCCGTGATCATTTGTCATTCACTGATGATCTTAGTGACAAAAGCGGGTATGTGACGAAAGAGTCGCAATTCTCCGCGCTGGTGAGCGTCGCGTGCGACGTCGCGCCCGCAAATGACGATGGTTCCAGGTAGTAGATGGCGACAACAGGCAATTCAGAACCGAAAATAGTCATGAATGTCTACGATGACGGGGTCTACATGAAGTCCGGTGCTTTCGACAGGTTAACACGAGTTAAGAAAACGCCGCGCCCAGCCGCTCGCGGCGAAGCGGCAAATCCTCCAGACAAAACCCGCTAGTTTGGTATATTGTGGATAGTGGCATTCAGTGACAGACCAGTGTTCGTTAAATGGGGCACGGGTAAGAGAATCGTGAATTGCCGCTACGTCGCGCGGCAATGGGCGCGACGTTTTCTTAATTTCAACTACCATTCCGATTGAAGCATCATATTTCATGTAGACAAGGACATGGTAGACACTTATGTCTATTTTTGGTCATACATTGTCTATTCTCGACCAATACCACCTAAAATCGTCGTCATTAGCGGGCGCGACGTCGCACGCGACGCCCACTGCGCTGCGAACTATGGTTCTCTTGTCACATACCCCGTAAATTGGCTCTCCAAGGGCAGAAAAAAAAACAGAAAAAACCATGCCTACCCTAAGTAAGGACCTGGCAGCTCCCTGGACCTTAGAACCCTCCGGACCTGCTCGTATTATGCCATCAAAACAAAATCCTTGCCGAATTCGGCTTACTAATCGTTTCTTCGCGTCATCCAGTACTAATACTATTTGAAGTGGATAAAAAAACCAAAAACGCACAGTAGTAACTCGTGACAGGAAATTGTCTTCGAGTTTTGATGGGCGGGGTAGTCAGGGAGGTTCGGAACTGCCACTTAGGACCACAGTTCCCCTCGTTAATGAAGCCGCGAAAGTGAGATAATCTTCGAGGCTGAGAACCAGACAACATTGTACAAGAGAGGACGCCTACGACTTGCTTGATCACGGGGACTGTCTTTGGAGCGAACAGTAGAAAAAGTATTACAAAAGCGAACTCACTTCATCGCTTCACTTGCACTCGAATGTAAACCCTTAGCG